TTCACTCTATTTTTTCAAGTTCCTTATTCATGTTTGCTTAAGTGTCTAATATGGTATTAGAGGCTTTTTCCAAGGCCCGACTTCCTTGTTCTGTTATTCCCTTCTTAAAAGTGAGGCATTAGGGGCATCATTAGAAAACTTTATATGCATAGATGGGACCTATGATGGACCAACCAGATGCTTCCTTGTTGATGACCTGGCAGGGGCAGGGCAACCTCTTGGGGGTGGGGAGGAGGGGGAGGGGCACTAAAAGTTCCACTATTGATAGATTTTTCTCTCTGGGTGTTCAGTTACTCTAAAGAGGAAACCTCTAATCTTCTGCCTGAGAGGTTGTGCTCCCAGCCCCTGCTCTTGGAACTGAGCAGAACAATCGAGTGGGACCTCACTATTCAACACTGTCACACTTTGCTTAACCCTTGTCATCAACATAACACTTCCTTCCATTTCTTGGCTCAGCCCAGACATCCTACCTCCCTGCTGCAGCTTCTTCATAGAGAAAATCCTTAGCTTCTGATGTATGAGGGAGAGAGTTGTCTGGCTATTTGGGACTGAGGAAGGGATTTAGGAATCTACCTCCTCCCAAAACCAAGTTTCAATAATAACTTGCTTATATTCCCCACTTCACTCTCACAGTCAGTGGGGCTGAACGTCGCTAATTCCTGCTACCGTCTGAGATTCGATGGCAAGAACTGGCCTGTTTTCTACCCTAGAGGTGCTGTCTTTGCTCGGTTAAGTCATTGAACTTGTCCGTCTGATTTTGATCTTCCAAAAGATCAACAAGTACAGATTTGTTGATATCTTTTGTCTATCAAAGTAGCACCTCTTTTCTTTGCCCTTTCGGATTTATATATTATTTATCCTCTTCAGTGGCATTTTGGGAGGAAGCAGAGATAGAATATATACCTAACCCAAATTGTTTAACCAGAACTCTTAGCTTCAATTTTTACTACTCGTTCTTTAAAAATTTTTAAAAATTGATAAGCACACTGAGAATTCTGTAACAAGTTACCGGGGGAAAACAAAGACAAAACGACTACTTTTCCTCCTCCTTCCACACATCATGCAGTTGTATGAGCTTGTCCAAAACAGATTAAAAATAAACAGAAATTCAACAAGAGTTTTCAAATGGGGCAAATGTAGTCTGTGCTTACTGCACCAAAATCTCTGATGTAGGCAACTGCAGGTACTCAAAGAAAATAACAAAATCAGATAACAGGACTTATAATATTGAGTCATAGTACCTCAAGCATATGTAACTCTTTTGCTTCCATCTGACTTATCGACCATTACTCACTATAAATCCCATGGAAAGTGGCCTAATTTATCACGCTGCAAACTACGTTGTCCTCGCCTCCTGACTGGCATCAACAGATTGTTCAGTCTCTTGCAGAATTTTCTTTCTCAGCCAGTAAACAAGTGACGGACCTACTCAACTTGAATTTCATCTCTACTCTCTGTGATGCTTTTCATGTTAAGAAATGTTGCTTTTCAACCACATAACGTTCTGTATGAATTCACGACTGCATACGAGTTGCTTTCATGTCAGTGGAAGCAGAGAGTTCTCAGTAAAGAAAGTAAAAGAAAGTCTTAGTAGTGATAATAACTAGTAGCCACAATGAAGATGCTAATCAAATGTCAAACCCATCAAGGTGAATTTTTGCAGTTAACGTTTGTGGGTGTCACAAATCTTGATGGCAAATGTCAGTTCTTTCCATGGTTAGTGACATCAATTCATTGAAAACAAGAGGCAGGAACATGCAGATGCTTGTTTTAACAAGTAAATGTAGCGTGGCCTGTGGTAGGTCTGACTTTGCAAATATTACATGTTCTTGGGAAGCCAGACAGAGAACAAGTTTGGACTTGAGGATAGCAAATGTCAACGAGGCTAAAGAGAAATGTTTTGTTTTTTTTATCTCCCTGCCCTGAGAAAGAATTTTCTCACATATCTAGAAGGGAAAAAAATGTGTATTGGTACAGTGTTCAGCATTTGACTACCAGTTCTATTCAACACTTAAAATGTGCATGGTGTAAATCTCCACTGATCTCTTCTACTTCCACGGATTCATCCATCGGCTATTTGCTGATGACATTCAAATATGCCAAGATTATTCTGACTTTTCTTCTTAATTTCTAATACATTTCAAAGAACTGTCCTAAGCTATCTCAAACTCCACAAATCCCAAATTAATCCAATTATCTACCCATCAAGTCTAACGGTTTTCCCCTAAATTCCTTAATTCAATGAGTTTTTCTTTCTTTCTTTCTTTTTTTTTTTTTTTTTTTTACCATCTAGTCAGTCATCCAAACTAAAAATTCTAGTCACATTCTACCACCAAGCACAGTTCTTGAACCAATGGCCAATAAATATTTCTCAAATAAATGAATGAATGGATTTTCAATGCTTTTGCTTCCTGTCCCTCTAGCTGATGATTTAGTAAGTGCCGGTCACTTGACAGCAAGCCCCCTCTCTTGGCATCCCCCTCCGTTGGCCGGACTGATGCTACTCCAACATGGGCCCTCAAGCCTCCTCCCCCTTGGGTCTCTATCATCTCAACCGACAGCAGTGCAGCTTTGGTCGTATTTTAACTTGGTTTAAAAATGTTTAATTCTCGGGGCGCCTGGGTGGCTCAGTCGTTAAGCCTCTGCCTTCAGCTCGGCTCAGGTCATGATCCCAGAGTCCTGGGATCGAGCCCCGCATCCGGCTCCCTGCTCTGCGGGAAGCCTGCTTCTCCCTCTCCCACTCCCCCGCTTGTGTTCCTGCTCTCGCTCTCTCTGTCAAATAAATAAATAAAATCTTAAAAAAAAAAATTTAATCCTCCCTTTTGCCTGCCAAACAAAATTCCAACGTCTCTTCCTGACTCTCCTCAATTATTAGACCCTTGTCACTTCCTCTGACTCCTTCAGAGGAGTCACTTCCCCTGAATCCTCCTCTAAAGCCAGGCTTTCCCATTTTTGATCACACTGGGTCATTTCATGCCTTCATGCCTTTGATCATTTGATTATTTCCTATGCTGGGATGTGCCTTTTCTCTGTCGTCCAGCCTGCTCAAATCCAGATCGTCCTTTAGCTCCTAATCCAAATATTTCCCAGGCCTCTAATTGGAATTATTTTTCTACTCCTCAAAGCTTGCATGATCTTTTTATTTCTACTTTTGCTCTACCTCTCAACACAGCAGAGCTGCATTTTCATAATCTGTTATGTGTCTGCCTCTTTCCCAAATCTGAAAAGGCCCCATTCCCAGCACTTAGTGCTCAACCCACAGTAAATGCTATAGAAAGTTTTCAGAAATGACACTGAATTAAAGCCATTATATACACTATATACATTACCAAGAACTAAATACTTATTTCAGGAGTTAAAGGAAAAGAAAAAAAAAGAAAAGAAAATTGAACCAGAAAATGTTTAGTATTGAGAAGAAGGTGAAAAATACTAAAACAATGTGATCCATGATGTGGTATGAACTCCTATCTCAAGGAAAAAAAAAAAAAAAAAACGCCTTTTCGGTGAACAGAGGTTCACTGAGCCCCCACTTCTGCCACCAACCTGGCACCTTGCTGCATACTGCTCCTTTCCTTTTCCTGCAGCCTCTTCAAACCACGGGCAGCTGGGGCAGTATTTAGGCCTGTGCTATTCACTCTTTATTCTTTATTCACTGGGTTTTGTTTCCCTATCTTTTCTTCCAGGTGTCAGGAGTGTGGCTTTTTTTTTTTTTTTAAGATTTTATTTATTTATTTGAGAGAGAATGAGATAGAGAGAGAGCATGAGAGGGGGGAGGGTCAGAGGGAGAAGCAGACTCCCTGCAGAGCAGGGAGCCCGATGTGGGACTCGATCCCAGGACCCTGGGATCATGACCTGAGCCGAAGGCAGTCGCTTAACCAACTGAGCCACCCAGGCGCCCAGGAGTGTGGCTTTAAGAATCCCTGTGTTAGATGAGATAATGTGATGGCTGTGGGAAGAAGTGGTCCGGCTCCCCTTTGGAAAGCTTTCATTTTATCCATTACCTCTGAGAGAACATGAGTCTGTTTGGAATGTACTGACCTCTCCCTCAGGTGCTGTGTTCTCTCTTATCGGGGTGGGGGCTATGGAGGGGAGGAAACAGGCTGTCCTGAATTCCCCCAAACCCCCCAGGCTCTCATGTGTCAAGTCCTGTGTTGCAATGGCCTCGTGCATAATGTGCCAACTGAGGGGCCAGTAGTGGTGAGAACTTGTTGCATCTGACTTTTAATTATACACGGTGCAGAGTCCTTGCTAGTTCAGAGAAAGTCACTCTTTAGGTTTGCTTTATTTTAGTGAAGGGGCATTTTATCTAAGTGGAGAGAAATTATCACAAAGAGTCCAAGCACCTATCTCGACTTACCCCAACGATCCTTTTTTTTTTAACTCTTAATTATAAAAATATTATAAATATATGCTAATTAGAGAGAATTGTAAAGACCCTGCATGTCATCATATCCAGCTTCCACAAGTAAGTAACAGCCCATCTTAATTCATCTGTACACCACTCTCACTCTCCCAGATTGTTTGGCAGTGATTCAAACATCATATTATTTCATTCATAAGTATTTTTTAAATATCACATAGGAATCTTGTTGGCAATATTGTTAAACAGCTTACCTTCGGTTAATAAAGTTCTCATCTTACCACAGCATCTATATTTTGTTTTCTCAAAACTTGAGAGGCTTACGGGGCTTCCCATACACGTATTAAATGTGTAAAACTTACACATGGTGAGTGGGATGGTGTGAGCTAGTTCTATCCCTGTGATTAATCTATTCTGTACACAATGGCACCCAGGGTGTGGGAACGCCCCTCCTTGGTCACCTAGTAACTTTTCACTGGTCAACAAGAAGCTGAATGAACTATTATATTGTGAGAAAGTGCTTGGCCGCCTCACTTGGATCATCTCCTCGATTTTAAGCAAAGTGCCATCGCCAAGTTTGAATTTGCTAAACCTTTCGGCTTTGCTGGCCGAAAAGAAGCATTCCACTCCTGGAGCATAAATGGATTCAGAGGACATGGGCTCAGGTAAACTCGGCCAAATACCGAAGCAGATATGGAGACAAACCTGGTGCTAAGGCCGGCCCTCCTGGGTGATGACCCTTGTGAAGGGTCTGGTGGTGCGACTTGCATGGTCACAGTGGTCTTTCTGGGTCAAGACCTCAGTGGGGCCCTTCACCAGCTGTTGGAGCCTACTGCAGGCACTGTGCTGGCAGGTAGAGATTTCTTCTATTTATTCTTTCTCTGGGAAATGTTGGTTGGACTGTCACCTTGAGATGTACGAAGGGGCAGGCAAAGAAGGCTAAGACAGAGCCTTGTCCACAAGGGACTAACAATATATTACGAGAAATAAGGTAAGACAAATGCACAGTAATGCAAGGGACATTAAGGCGAGTTCCATTAAAGACATAGAAAGGAAGGGCATTAAGACTTCACAAGCAGGCAAGATTCCACTTTTAGAGTGGGAAATAGGGAATTTTGCTAGATCAAATGCTGTATTTAAACCAAAGCTTAAGGAATGAATTGGATTTATGCAGCTGGAAATTAGGAATCTTGAAAGTGCATTCCAGGCAAGGGTATTATTAGTAGGATCCAAGATTAAAGGTAGGAAAATATCCCTGGTCTGAGGTAGAACAAGCAGTTTTTCTATATTGGAATATGATATTCTATGTATAGAATTATTTGAGCTTGAACCCATTATTGCAAAAACTCTAGAAAGACTGGGCTGGGCTGGGCTATAGAATTGGACCCCCCTCCCACACACACTAAGAGGGGAGCAGATTCTTGGGAATAGCCCCAATTATGGATGCTGAGAAGTATGGCAGGAAGAACATTGTATCTGATGAATATGATCTCAGACAATAGCAGTTACTCTAGATAAGATGAGTGGTATCATGAAATCCAACTCTAAATTATATAGTGTCAAGGCAAGTGGGCAGTTCTCATCAATCACGAATCCAGGGGATAATGTTAAGAAATTATTAGCGGGCAGTTGGTAGGCATCAGGGAAATCTGCGCAAAGGCAGCATGACCCAGACAATAGCAGCTGGAGATTATAGCCAGGACTCTAGTCTCTGGAGAGAATTGAATATGGTCCTAGGCAACATATTGAGACAAATACCTATTCACGGAAAATGGTAAGGACACTGTTTCCAGAAGAGGAGATCAAAATAAAGGCAGTCTTAGGTACAAGACAAAAACACAAGCTGTCAGAATTGGAGCCCAAAGATAAACCCAGCCTCGTAAAAGGATAATTTAATGATGATTCTTAAAATGCTGACCTATGGGGCTACAAATTACATATTCCTTAGTTCAGAATTGAATTCTAAAGATTGGAGAGTTGCTAAGCCTGCAAGAAGTGATCAGATAACCTCAGCTGTGAGCTGTAAGCTCAGAGGAAGGATGGACAAAGAGGAGAATAGTAGGACATGGGGATGGGGTGAGGAGAGATTATAACAGATCAGATCATGGGGGGGGGGCTATAGACCACCAGAGTGAAGAGGCTTGACTTGGTTTAACAGCCTTTGAGTAGCCAGGGCACATTCTAATCAGAGAATCAGAACCTGTACAATTAGAACTATTTTTTGGAAGGCTAACTTGAAAATTGTAAATGATCACAAGCTCAGCAGAAGTGTAAACCTAACTTAATTCTCATAGCAGCCAACAAAGCACCTAAAAAATACAGCACCTGCACCAGTAGGAATAATGTAGCTATGGTATGCCGGCTACCCAAGTCTCATCTGAAGTGTTTTGCTAAATTTTAGGCAAATAATTATAGGTGGATCATTGACAAATGATATAGTACATTCAAAGGAGAAGGAACAATTCTCAAAATCATACTAAATCATCATGGAATTATTGAGGGAGATGTTGACTTCAATTGAAGAGTTTTCTGGGCATCGGGGGATCATGATGTCTGCCTTCAAATATTCAAAGCATTTTTAATGAGCAGGAGGGATTAGATTTATTCTTTGCCACTACAGTAAGAAGCAATTTGTCCCCAATTCCTAAATGTATTAAAAGAGTGACAGTTGTGCAAATGACTTCTCCTTCAGCAGGGAGAAAGGCTTAAATGCCTGTAAGGGTCTTGGTAGGTTTCTAAGTTTATCTTGCCATACCTAATGAGATGTAAGTGGAGAAATATAATTTGATTCAGTTTTGTATTTTGTTCTTTTTATGTATCTGTGTGTGTACAGAAATTTCTACTTTCATAGACTGCCTCATGAAAATAAATGAATATTTGGGGAGCACTGCTACACTTCTAAAGAAAGAAGAAAAGGAGATGTGTAATTTATGCAGCACGCATGATGAATGTACCCCACGGCGGACAATGTCCACCATTCACGATATCAAAGCCGCAGGCATTGCTGCAAGAGGGGAACAAAATGTCATAGAAACAGCTACTGTTTCTCCCACAAATGGAGAGGAAAGTCCTTATACAAACCAGGTCCAGTTAAAAAAAAATAAAGCACATATGAGTTCAGAATTAGTGGGGGAAAAAACAATACCTTATTGAATGGAGATGTAAGAGAGCAAGGGGAGTCGCAGAACAAAACGTTCCCAGATAATGCTGAAAATGAAGATGATAAACAAACAGAACACATGACTGTTGAGAACACAAATGGCAACAAGAAAGAGATGCATGACATAATCCAGACAACAGAAAGAGAAATTCAAGAGACCTCAGAAAGCCAAAGAGATTACCACATCCTCAATAACATGTGATATCTCCAGCAAGAATCTGAATAATCTTCTTTCCAATGATTCAGAGAGTCTAAAGCAAAAGAATAACATAATGGAGTAGGAGTAAGTAAATGTGATGTGAGAGGTGCTTGTATATTCCTGCTGTTGATACGTGTGTTTCCGTCATTCTTATACATAGTATACATATATGATGAGGATTTTATATTTCCATTTCAGATCTCTAGAAGATATTGTAAATCAATAATTCAGTTTAAATTATTCCCAGTAAAATTATATGACTGCTATTACTAATATTTTTTTTAATAATTTTAGGAAACAAACATTAAATGTTTCTTTAAAGGAAGAGGAATCCACTATAGAAGAAAGTAGTTTAAATGAACAATTGTCCAGAACATGAACACTCTTCTTAATCACTACTCTTTCAATTATAATAAGAAAAACTAGGAAGCTGCGGAGAGTTCAAATTCTGGAAAAGCATTTTCTAGCCTCATTTATTTTAGCGATATCCTCAAATAAATTCTCACATTTATTTTATTTATAAATTATCATAAATTCTTAACCTGTGTCTGTAGACTCTAGGTGGCATGGGTAAGCTTTAGGCAGTTATTAAAATTGTGTGTATATTTTATCTCCTTGGAGATTGTCCAAAGCTTTTCCCAGATTCTCAAGGAGCCCCTGACTTTAAAAAAAAAAATGTTGAAATTGACAGATACACTTCATAAATTATCTCCCTTATACAGGGGATAATAATCCCTATTTGTCCAAATAAAATAAAATATTCACAGCCATAGTTTTCCTGCAAAGATCACACCCTTAGAAGACAATCGGGCATAATGAAAAAAATCATTGCTTTGGGAATCAGACAGACTTAAATTTTATCCCCTGTTTTTTTACATACTAGTTTTGTGATCCTGGGCAACTTGCTTCATTTCTTAGTCCTATTTTCTTCTTTGTAGAAATAATATATACTTCCTGGGATTATTTGGTAAGGTCAAATGAGAAAGTCACGTAAAGGGCCTAGCACCACAGTACTTGGCAGATGTTCACACTGAGCTAAATGTGAGTTTGTAATTGATTTCACTCTCAACAACCCTCACTTTCTCTACTTCCCACGTGCTTCCAAACTTCACTTAACCCCTCTCTGCCATGACATATAATGCTCTTTTCAGGTGTATAATACCATTTCCAGGACAACACCACAACGGCGTCTTCAATCTCAAGCAACTCATTTTGCTATTTTGACCTTAGTTCTCTCATCAATAAAATGAAGAGGTTGAGTTAGGTTAGCTGTGAGGTCCCTATAGGGCTGAGAATCTAATGAGTTTTATAGATGTCATGGAAGTACATTCAATGCTTGACAAACCCCATAGTTTTAAAGAATTACTTCCCCTGCAAAACAACTATTAAGTTAGTTAATATGTAGTTGCCCATTTCACTTGAGAAAAACATTAACACTTCATATTCTCACATTCAGAAATGACTCAAAGCATCAACTAGTGAGTCACTGCTGAACCACTCCCTCTAACACCACCCTTAGGTGTTCCCTGGTTGGTGATTTCCTCTTTGTAGCGTACAAACCAATTGTGCTTGGTTTGCATATTTATAAAGATGACTACTCCTTTCAATCCTTCAGGCTAGAAACCATCAGGTCCCTTAAAATATGTGTGTCATAAACAAAACCTCACTGGGAATCTGTTGTGATTCCTTCCTGGATAGCTTTCTGTAAGAAACCTATCTCTTCCAGTGTTGTTGTCCTAGTGTGTATAGACTCAAAGGGAAACGAGAAACATAAACCAATCTGATTACTTCACCTGCTGGACTAGATCTATTTGACTAAGGCTAGAGGAAACAGAAGCATTTACAGGTCTCTTTCCTCACTTCACCCATCAGTCTTTTAGGAGAGCGTATGCAGGCGCCTGGGTGGCTCGGTCGCTAAGCGTTTGCCTTCGGCTCAGGTCATGATCCCAGGCTCCTGGGATGGAGTCCCACATCGGGCGCCCTGCTCGGCGGGAAGCCTGCTTCTCCCTCTCCCACTCTCCCTGCTTGTGTTCCTGCTCTCGCTGTCTCTCTCTCTGTCAGATAAATAAAATCTTAAAAAAAAAAAAAAAAAAAAAGAAGAGCGTATGCAGATAGTTTTCAAGCCACAGAAGAAAATCATTTTTGAAGTTATACAAGGCTGGGTCACTGTATTCTCTATTAAACCATTCAGAAATTGTTTTTCATTTTCTGAAGTACCGTCATCAGAGAATATGCAAACAAACCAATGTACTGGGTAATTTTCCTTCCAACTTTACAGGTTCAGAATTATAAATCTAAATAAATTATAAATCTAAATAAATTATAAATCTAAATAAATTATAAATCTAAATTTCTCTGCAATTTCAACATTATTTTTTAGATATCTATGTTAAAGGGCATTATAAAATTCAGTTTACTAAGAATTGAAAAATAGTTAAAACCTGATTATCCTAGAACTGGGTATTAATGCTCTATTTTATATTGATCCTCTCATTTATCTTTGACATTGCCAATATTTCAGCCATTTCACTGATAAGAAATAAGAAGTAGAAAGAAGAGGAGGAACTCAAGCTGGTAATCTTAAGGTAGAGATCTAATTTATTGGGCATGCAATTTATGCTAACCCTCTATTATAAGAAGTTTAAATATTTTATCTCATTCCATCTTCATACTATTGTGGATTAGGTATTATTTTCAGTTTGTAATGGATAAAGAATCCAGTGCTTTGGAATGATTTGAGGATATTATGTCAGAGTTTGGGCTTTTGTGCTAAATATAGACGGATTCAATTATTGATTCTGTATACTTACCATCGGTGTGATTTTCAACAAGTGACATTTTCTAAGCCTCAGTTTCTTTCTTTTTTTTTTTTCAAAGATTTTATTTATTTATTTGAGAGAGAGAGAATGAGAGACAGAGAGCATGAGAGGGAGGAGGGTCAGAGGGAGAAGCAGACTCCCTGCTGAGCAGGGAGCCCGATGCGGGACTCGATCCAGGGACTCCAGGATCATGACCTGAGCCGAAGGCAGTCGCTTAACCAACTGAGCCACCCAGGCGCCCAAGCCTCAGTTTCTTTATCTGTAAAAGGTGATGACAGTAGTACCTGCCTGACTCCCTAGTGAGGATTAAATGAAACAGTGTGGGGGCACTTGGCTGGCTCAGTCAGTAGAACATGCGACCCTTGATCTAAGGGTTGCGAGGTCGAGCCCCATGTTGTATATAGAGATTACTGAAAGATAACAATTTAAAAAAAAATGAAACAATGTGTAACCTAAAATCTAGTCCATAGAGAGAGCTAAAATATTGGTTATTTTAATAATAATTATTGATGTTTAAAGTCAAACAAATAATGACTGATCTCAAATTTGAATGCAAATGTTTAAGACACTAAAAGCTTCGGCAAAGGTGATGGTTATAAAAAGCAAGAGTACAACAAGTGGTCAAAATAAGCTTTTGTATTGATTCTTTGAGGACTGTAAATATTTTGCTTCTAATTATCATGACTAATCCTAAATTCACAGTACTTTTGTACCTTTCTCAGGTTTTCTAAAAAACATAATAAACATCATTCGATATAATGTGTTTGGATAATTCCAATACCAGATATGTATTTATCTCCTTTCCTCAAAATTTAGTAAATGATTCAGCTATTAGTACTTGGTTTATCAAGAAGCATTAGCAATCTTCAGATTCATTTTGTAACGTGAACAAAACTGAGAAATCACCACCTAAATAATAATAGTAATGTCAATAGTAAAAATAGTAATAATAACTCATACATATAATACCTACTATGTGCCAAGCATAGATTTTTAATAACTTAACATATACTAGTTTATTTAATTCTCACAGCCTTCTTATGAGATAGGTATTATTTTATTATAATTTTGCAGTTGAATAAACTGAGGCACAGAGAGGTTGAATATCTTGCTAAAAGGTTACAGAGTTAGTAAGTGAAAGAGTTGGGATTCACAGTAAGACAATGTGGCTCTAGAGCTCGTGCTTATTTATTTATTTATTTATTTATATTTGTTTTATAGTTTATTTATTTTTTTCAAATTTTTTATTTAAATTCTAGTTAACATATAGTGTGATGTTGGTTTCAGGACTAGAATTTAGTGACTCATCACTTACCTACAACACTCAGTACTCATCACAACAAGTGCACTCCTTAACACCCATCACCCATTTAGCCAATCCCCCGCTCACCTCCCTCCGTTAACCCTCAGTTTGTTCTCCATAGTTAAGACTCTCTTATGGTTTGCTTCCCTCTTTTTTGCATTTAGCCATATAGTACATAAATCAAATAATTGGAAAAATGATGTATTTTTTTTCCTTCAGGTATTTTGATATGCTGAGTGATACCAGCCCCCAGGTGTCTTGTTATATTACAGCACCATCATATTTTCTACAACATCTACAATGCCAGGTAATTAATAGCATGAGTTCTTTAATAGTGAGTGATAGTGAAGAGTTGGTCAGTAATGTCATCACTGTTGAGTCTCAGACATGGAAAAAAAAATTCCATTTCTAATATGCATTGCAATTCCATTTACTGCACATTACAGGTGAAATTACAGAAACATCATGGTGAAAGTGTCTGACATAAACCTTCAATCAAGTTACCTAACCCCAAATTCACTGGAAGGAATGAGAGGAAGTTATAAGGTTGGTAAAGCCTTGGCTACATCTACATTTGCTGTTTGACTCCTCTACTAAATATTACTCAGACTACCAGACTGTGTAGAGATATAATTGCTCCATTGGTAACAAATGGAAGGGTTAATTAGATTAATGCCAGTAAATTCACGAATATTTTGCTATCTTTTGATCTTCATGGTCAAAGAGCAGAAATTATTGGCCAAACTTAGGAAAGAAGAACTTGGGTCTAGGACCCAGCAAATGTTGTATTTTCACCTGGGGAAAAAAAAAAATCAAAATCATGGCTTAATTAGCTTCATGCCTTAGACTAGCAATAGACTAGCATTTAAATGTGATGGACCTCTGTCTAAATTTAAGAATGTTGAGATCCCCAGATAATACTAGATTTATTTTTTATCATTCGTGAGTTGGGAAAATATGTAAAAAAAGTTGAACAACTGTGTGTGTGTGCACGCCTTGAGATAGTTTTTTAGTCTATAAATTATGTTCTGCTCATACACAGAAGACAGTATATGTGGTAGTTAGGATGTGGGTTGTGGGGGAAGATTAGCTGGGTTTGAAATCTGGTTCCTATACTTCCGTGCTATGTTAGTGTGGGTAAACTATGTAACCTGGCCATGACTCAATTTCTTTATCTGAAAAATGAATACAATAATAGTGTCCACCTGATAGGGTCATAAGGATTAAATGAATAAATTGCACTTACAAAGATAAAAGGAAGCCTATAAACACGTGTTAGTAGTGGACTTTATTGTAGTAACTCTGAGTTTCGCTATGGTCACAAATTCATATGTTTTGAAGACAGGTTATAGCAGTTATTAAACTTAGCATAGAGTTGATGGGAGCTAAGGTTAAAGATTCTTCTGTGGGCCATTGAATTTATTTTTAAACAGAATATTTGTCTTTTAGCTTTATGTAAGTTGTCATTATTTGAAGAGAAGGGCAAGGAATAAATATTTTAAAATTCCACTAAATAAGAAATTCTTTATAATACATCTCTTCTTTTTCTAATTTGTGTCTTTTCTGAGTTACAAACAAGGTTATACAGTAGAATATGAAAGCTAAGCCTGTAATAATTATTTATTCCAGTTCATGTCACTAGCATATTTTATATTTGGTCTAGGAAGCCTGTATGTATAATAGTCCCATCCACATTGCCTTGACTGTGGCTTTTTAATCTTGATCAGTCTGTGTGACTGTCATTATAAACGTGAAAACTGCTGATAGTGCAAGTGACTTTCAGAAAATGGGCAGCAAGATGTTTCATAAATGGATCATCAGAGCAAAAAGGACAACAAAGTAAGAGGACCATTGTCTACTGGAAAATATAAAAGCATATACTTTTTATAGTTTTCTAATAGTAGTTATCCCTAATCAGTTCCAGGGAAACTTTTTTTCTTACCTCTCACCATTTTCCCTTCAGCCAATTAACTACATTTGTCACGCCCTGAATTTTCCCAATGACGGATTCATGAAGTGATATTGTGAAATGTCTTCCTTAGTCAGTTTTCAAATGACAGATTATTCTCTATTGTGATTGTCCCCGAAATGTTTGTGTGTGTGTCTGTTTGATTATCCACTCACGCTGGGGCGGAGCCAGGCTGGTGTTTGGGGAGACATGAATAGATCAAATGACTTTTAAGTCTTCCTCTTCATTTTAAGCTTTGGTGAGTATACGAGTAGATAATTTTGTTTTCATTTATGTACTCAGCTCCTTTTTTGTGTGATTAAAAAGCTTGAATACATGCCTGCATATAGGCATTACAAATTTAAATGTCACTATATAAAAATGAAACACAAATGTTTCTTTTCAGTCATTTGCTCCCACTGCATGAAGGAGAGAAATAGAGAAAATGACTTTACTAAGAGATTGTGAGTTGTCAGAAGGAAGAATCTGCTGACAGAACAGGTGCTCTAGCTTTTGCATAAACTACCCAAATGATGACATTTGGAATTCCCTAAAACAGTGTTGAATTTTCTGGATAAAGGCCGATACTAAAGTTTATTCTGGTAAAGGAAGATAGGATTCCAAAAATAGTTAATATTTGTGAAAACACTAAATGTGATTGTGGAGGAACTTAATTTAAATTTAAAAATATATTTATTTCTCTCTTTTCTATCATGTAGTTCAAGTTTGAGAAACTAATATCTACCTGAGCATCCCTTTGGAGTTAATGAAATCTTTCCCAAATGTGGGAGAGTACAGGGAGAGCAGATAGAGTATATACAGCAGATGCACCCAGAACCCTGCTGTGTTAATGTCCTTTCATGTCCTCAATCCATACAGGGGACCTGGGCTGAAGTCAAAGTGTACAAGCTGGGTGTCTTCTCTGTTGTGTCTTGTTTAAAGAAAGAGTCCTTCATAGTAACAAAGAAAGGCCTTACTCTTAAGCCAGGCATGGGTTCCTGAGTGTCCTTAAATTACCCTCCAGGGGTTTTCGGCTCCCCAGTGCTGGTACAATTAAAGGTAAATATTAAAAACTGCTGAGTTTCTTCTCATAGCTTTTGTGGGTCAGCAAACACGGTCCGGAAAGGATAAAGAAGGTACAACTATTTAATATACCAGTAAACAAATTCTTTTCTTATACTTTTAATGACCTAACATACAGTGGTATCAGTGATAAAGTGATGATTTAGAGCATAGTGAATCTCATTCCAAAATAAATCCCTGCTTTATTTGAAAGCTTTCTTAGCTACTTTTGTGTGTGTGTGTGTGTTTCTTAATGATATTTACTGACAAAAACATGTTAAGTATCTATGATAAAACTGAAGCCAGACATTGGGACATTCATATGAGTCAAGATTTGCATCTGAAGGATGGCAAACAGGAGGCTAATCAATTAAAATATTTATAATTGTGACAATTTCATTATACTTAATCATAAAACAGCCCTTTTTTGGAATGAGGATTTAATATATAAAAACACTATTTGCAAGATATACACATGATATATTGGAGCATCACTGCACCTTTTAGAAGATACACTTTCTCAGTATTTCCTGTCCTTGCAGCCTTGACTGTCCCCCATGCTCTCCTGTTTCTCCCAGTTATTGTAAGTGGCTAGCAAAAAAGAAAAAGTAGGGAAAAAAACATACTATGAGCAATTAATTCATAGATATTTTCCATAAACTTGGAAGTTTAGAATCATGCTAGCTATTTTTATTAGCCACTCTTATGTGAGAGGAAACAAATAAATATAGTCTTGTTTTTCTAGCTTCTGAAGATCACTTGATCTAACAACAGTTCTAATTAGAAATTATGTAAAATGTCTATTTTGTTTTCTAGGTCATTTTGTTGCCTACAATTAAGAGTGTTTCTCAGTTATTTATAACATAGGACAGGAACCTAGATTTCAGACAGACTTTGTAAAAAGGGGACCAAATGATGTGTTTTTTATAAATGAATGCAGTGTTGATTCTCGTCAACAATGCATAAAGAAATGTATAAAATTAGGCTCTATCAAATTTTCAGAAAATTGGCTTAGAAATGTACTGATACTTTGCACGTTATTAAAATATATGAATATATGTATTTTTTCCTTGTTTAGGTCCAACCAGTTGACCCATCTTTGGTGACATATTTGAAAACACGGCAAGATACTTCCTACCTGGTAGTATCCACAAGCCCTCTGATCCATGTTAAGCACCCATCAACACGTCCTTTCCAAAAGCCAGTCACTGTATTCCTACCTTATTCTCCACACCCTGATGAAAAGACTCTTGGATCTGAGATAGATCATAAAAGAACAGATGGTGCCACAACAAACAGGATCATACCTTTCTACCTCAACCGGTGAGTTAAACCCTAATATCTCTGACTTGATGATGTGTATATCCTGTTATCCAATCTCCCCACTGTCTTATTTTCATTTTATTAGAGGGAAGAATGAAACTCAATGAGATTAAAAACTTGTCCAAGTATCTACATCTACCAAGTGGTGCAATTTTGGATGCACCCACATATCTCTAGATCTACTCATGACTCTGTGTAGCCATCATTTATTTAGTTTGAGGGCTGCAAGGCTGGAAATTAAGAAGTGGATTATTTGTCTTTTCCCACCATGTTTGTAATTTAGGAAGCTGGCAGTAGTAGAATATTAGGTTATGGCTGGGAGAAGAAATTAAACTTTCCCTCGTGTTAGATAAGTGAGAGAGAACATAAAAATACATATGTGATCCACTTATTTTGCTACTTGGGAGATATATATATATATATATTAGTGGTAGTTTAGTTAATCCACATTCCTGTGTATCATGGTAAAGTAAGATTTAAAACCAGAAATATCTGGTTTTAAACTATTAAAAAGTACCAGTATAATAGATTAAGACATTCTCTTTTAGATATTCCCTGAAGTACATATATATTTTTTTAAAGACAAGAACTTAATCCTTAAAATGGATTTTTACCAGTCCTGTTGCTAGAATCTGGTAAGTATTTCTACTGTATTTAGAGGACAGACGGAAAAAGATTAATAAAAATAATTTGTGACTGATATGTACTTTCCATCATAAAACAAAGCAGCTCCGTTTGCAAGAAAGATGATAGAAAAAGAACTTGTCTGTTCCTGACTGTCAAGTCCCATAGTCTGAGAAATATAAATTTATCTCTGTAATACACAGATTTCATTTTTGGAACCGATTACATCAGTGTTCCTTTGCCCCTGTTTTGCTCTAATTCCATATCCCTCAGAAATGACAGAGTGGAATGCAGAGAGAAAAGACAGCATTTTTCATTGTCAAAAATGAAATTCCCTTAAGTATAGGGATAAGAAGAGAGACAATAAGAGCCCTGGTAGAAATCATGCTGAGGGTGGCACATTTTCATACACTTAATTGATTCAAAACATTTAAAATCCAGTTATCCCAGGTAGGAGAAGATTACACATGGTAATCCAGATAAATGATACTCAGTAAAAATGATTAAACACTGAAAATTGATTTCTAAATTATGCACATGGATCTGTTCTCCAGATATAAGAAAGAGATTCAAGTGGCTACCAAACCGGATGTAGGTGGATGAATATTCATTCAAGATTAAGGAAAAAAGTCCTACATGGTTTCTTAAGGAAAAAAAAAAAACTTAATACCAATCAAAAAGATTTCAAAAACAGAACAAAACCACCAAAAAACAAACTATAGAAATAAAGAAGGAGAACATCGTCCTGACGTTTCACAGTAACTTGAATAATGAGAATCACGGTTCCCTGGAGAGTATTACGGAAATCTATTTTGGAAGTTTAGTAGCATCCAGTAAGCAAAACTTCTGAGAGGCAGAAAGCCATCAGGATAGATAGACCAGAAAGAGATGAGGACAACGGGATGAGATACAAAGATAACAAGCAGAGATGAAAAGGGACATAGGTATGATAAGGAATCATTTGAAATGATGTCACCTAATAATTATGGTACCATCAAAGGAGCAACCAAAACAACCATAAAAGAAGCAATAATCAAAGTCATAGTTGAATTTAATTTCCTGATGTTGATTAAAGCCTTGACTTAGAAAGCGCTGATTGATTACTAGACACAATTACGGAAAAACAACAACAACAACAACAACAACAACAACAACAACAAAACTAATGCCTACGTAGGCATGACATGGAAAATGGAAATGTACATTTAAATAAAACATAATTCTATAACAATCCATTCAGCAGAAACAGATTAAGTAAAAAGGAATAACATCAGTCTCCCCTCAGTCTCATTCATAAAAGCAAAAAGCAGAAAGGAAAAGTTTATATGGCAAAGGATAACAACAACAACAACAACAAAAAAACCCACAAGAAAACAGCATGGTGATGTTAAAGAGAAAAGATGACATAAATAAAATAAGCAGTTACATTAAATAGATATAAATGGGTTAAACATAATCTATACTATTGTTCATCTTACATAAATCTTTAATATTTAATACCTTCTATGCTATATTTGAGGTGATTTCCTTAGATTTGTCATATATTTTACCATTTTTAAATCAGTTGTTTCAAATATTTATTTCTCTCATTGTAATTCTCATTTCTAAAAGGCTATTGCTATATTTTAAAAATCTTTTTTTTCCAAGATGCTCTGTATTTCATTAAGCTTTCTAATTCATTATCCCTTTAATCATTATAAACATACTCATTTTATGGTTTCATTCAGATTATTCTATCACCTACCTATTAACATGATGTTTACTATTATCTATTAGCATGGTGTAATCTAGTACATTGTCTATAATGCTGGTTCCATCCTTAGAAATTCATTTCCAAGTACTGAGTATGATTTTTAGTCAGATCAACTTTTCTTCTCCCTTTCCCTCCTGCCCAGAGCTGCTTTGCGTGTTTGTTGATTTCTTGAGCCAATGTTCCAAGAGAGTTTGGTTGTTTTGTTGTTTCTCATTTCATGGCCAATGCTGCCCTTTCGGGATCCCAGTTTTATGACTGAGTTAGTTCCAGCTAATAGCTAGAGGCTGTATCTAATGTGTCTGATAATATCGTAAGCTCCAGCCCCCACACACCTGGTGTGTATGCATGGTTGGTGGGGCAGGGTGTGTGTTTGGAGGAGACTGATGAGGGTGGGAGTATCCATAGAATCAGTTGCTCATGTTCCCTAGGGAGAGAAGAGAATTCTAGATTTTTGAGATTTTTAAAAAAGATTTTATTTATTTGAGAGAGAGAGAGAGAACGTGTGAATAAGCACGAGCTGGTGAGGAAGGAAAAGGGAGAAGCAGACTCCCTGCTGAGCAGGGAGTCCTCGGGGCTCCAACCCAGGACCTGGAGATCCTGACCTGAGCCAAAGGCAGCCACTTAACCTACTGAGCCACGGAGGTGCCCCTAGCTTTTTGAGATTTTGTTAATTTCCAGACCTAAGGGATTTTCTTTCTGGTTTTTGAGTTCCTCCACCTTACTCTCTGTGTGTCTGTGTGAGAGAGAGATTTTTTTGTTTGTTTGTTTGTTTTCCATTTCCTTTTATTTTCTTTTTCTTTTTTTTTTCGTCTTTTATTTTTTTTTATTCTTATGTTAATCCCCATACATTACATCATTAGTTTTAGATGAAGTGTTCCATGATTCATTGTTTGTGCACAACACCCAGTGCTCCATGCAGAATGTGCCCTCCTCAATACCCACCACCAGGCTAACCCATCCTCCCACCCCCCTCCTCTCTAGAACCCTCAGTTTGTTTTTCAGAGTCTATCGTCTCTCATGGTTCGTCTACCCCTCCGATTTCCCCTGCTTCATTCTTCCCCTCCCGCTACCTTCTTCTTCTTCTTCTTCTTCTTTTTTTTTTTCTTAACATATATTGCATTATTTGTTTCAGAGGTACAGATCTGAGATTCAACAGTCTTGCACAATTCACAGCGCTTACCAGAGCACACACCCTCCCCAGTGTCCATCACCCAGTCACCCCATCCCTCCCACCCCACCCCCCACTCCAACAACCCTCAGTTTGTTTCCTGCGATTAAGAATTCCTCATATCAGTGAGATCATATGATACATGTCTTTCTCTGTTTGACTTATTTCACTCAACATAATACCCTCCAGTTCCATCCACGTCGTTGCAAATGGCAAGAGTGAGAGAGAGATTTTGTCCAGCATTTCTATATAGTGGGAAGATGGCGATTTGTCATCAATTCAGTTAACCAAGTACCAATATCTTTTTTCTTCTCCGTTTCTTTGCCCTAGTATATGCTCTGTCTGCTAGAAAATCCTTTTTTTATCATGTTTAGGTGAAGGACACTGGTTTATTCTATAAGTGGTAGCTCAACTCTTTCCTTATCTGTCAAGACATTCTAAGATATCCAGGAGGGATTGATTTTTTTCTGTGTCAGTCCCATTCTTTGTACACATCCTATATCATACTATAGTATTATTAAATTCTCTTTTCCATTTAGCATCACTAAGCACAAGTACAACATAGTAGGTGCTCAAAAAACGTTCCATGAATTAAATAAATTAATGAATGCATTTGTGGAAATGTAAATAGTATTAGTAATCCTTCAATACTTTTTAACAATGCTAAATTAGTATTTCATAATATGCTCTGTTGTTATTAATGCTAGATATGGTAGATGCATTTCCTCTATCCAGTGGAGCATAAAACAATAAAATGGGATCCTATACCAGCTGTTTATTTAACCTTCTTTCATCAAAGGGTGAAAATAGGTGAACATTTTCTATGGAAATAGGAACACAATGAAGCACTCCATGCCTCATAAAATAAAAAAGATAAAAACTAGTTGAGGCCAAAACATAGTCTAAATAATAAGAATTAAAGGTCTTTATTACATCACATTCCTTTATGTCTGAATGATTTCTGGGAAAAGATGAGTGTCATTTAATTATGAACCAGAAAAGATTTCTTGACAGTAATGAAAGGTGAAATTAATTTATTAAATAAAAACTTATTCCATATTATATAAGAAATATTTTAGAGAGTTAGATGGGAAAACAATTTTGCTCATGGAGAATGCCATTTCTGCATAATGGTGTTGGTTTTAAGATGATCTTGTTAAAATGTAACATGTGAGTCATATACAAGAATATTTGTGAAATAGATGTGTCATATTATGTAAGAATAAAATAGACAAGTTGGTAAACCTACCATTAACTTAAGAAACCAAAAAGAGCTGATCCCTCAGAATAGCCAACACAGGAGAAGAATAGAGATGGAAGAGGGGCACTACCTGACTTTGAGACTTACTATAAAGTTATAGGACTCAACACAGTATGGTACTGGTGAAAGAATAGGCAAATAGATCAGTAGAACAGAAAAGAGAGCCCAGAAATATATATATATAGTCAACTTAT